TGGTGGATCAGGCGGCTCGGCAGTAGCTCGGCGGCGCCGGCGGCTCGGTGGTGACGGCGGGGCCGCGTGGGGACTGCGGCGGGGCCGGGTGGAGCGGCGGCGGGGCTGGGTGGAGCGGCGTCGGGGCCGGGTGGAGCGGCGTCGGGGCCGGGTGGAGCGGCGTCGGGGCCGGGTGGAGCCGCAGTTGCTGCCGAGGCGCTGCGCAGAGGGTCGGCTCCGGTGGTGGTCAGCGCCAGCAGCAGCAGCAGCAGCAGCGGCAGCAGCGCACTCGTGACATCCCCCCCCCTCAGCAGCTCCGTGAGTGGTACGCTGCACGCCAGCGGGGTGGGGGTACTGGTCCGTGCACCTACGTCCTACGCACCGGCGACCGCGCGGGTGAGCAGTGCGGGGGTGCGCACTCCACCCAGCGCTGCTTTGGCCGCCTGACGGACGCTTGGTGTCACCAGTTCCCTGAGGCCACTGAGATCCCCCGCTGGGGCGAGCTGTCTAGGGCGGGTGTAGCTGTCTTTGACCTTGACTTTGATGCTATTCTTGCTGCCATGTATGCTGTGACTATTAGTGATGAGGGTGACTGTTACCGGTGTTTTCCGCCCGACCCGGGCATTGAGACTGCTGCTCTAGGTACTGGTGAGGCTGCTGCTCTAGGTGCTAGCGAGGCTGCTGCTCTAGGTGCTCGTGCGTCTGCTCCCTCAGGTGCTGGTGAGTCTGCTCTCTCAGGTACTGCGTCGGCTTCGGCCTCCCACACCTTCACCCTTGACTCGGGGGCTTCTCGCTCCTTCTTTCGAGACCGCACCACACTCACGCCGCTTGGCCGGCCAGTTGCAGTCTCTCTGGCAGACCCCTCTGGGGGTCCTGTCCTTGCTCACTTCTCCACTGTCCTCCCGTGTCCGGCGGCCCCCTCTGGCACCCTGTCTGGTCTTTACCTCCCCTCGTTCTCTACGAACTTGGTGAGTGGTGCTGACCTACAGGATGCGGGGGTTCACCAGTTCACTCCTGCGAGTCAGCGGGTGACCCACTGCACGGACGCTCGGACAGGCCGACACCTGGCCACGTTTACACGTCGGCCGGGGTCGAGCCTGTACACACTGACCACTGCGTCTCCTCCAGTCACTGCGTCTGGTCAGGTAGCTGCGTCGGGTCAGGTGTTTGCTGCAGCGTCCAGGTCTGGTCCTGAGTCTGCCCCCTGTTCGTGTCGCCTCCTGTCGCACGAGACTCTCCTCTGGCACCACCGCCTTGGTCACCCCTCCCTGCTTCGTCTCCGAGGCATGGCCTCCCGTGTCCTTGTCTCTGGTCTTCCCCGGTCCCTCCCTCCCCTTCCTCCGGGGCCAGGCCCTACCTGCGTCCCTTGTGTCGAGGGGCGGCAGCGGGCTGCCCCTCACTCCTCCCAGTTTCCTCCGACAGAGGCCCCGCTGCAGACGCTTCACATGGACGTGTGGGGCCCGGCCCGCGTCCGTGGACAGGGTCACGAGCGCTACTTCCTGCTGGTGGTTGACGACTACTCGCGTTACACCACAGTCTTCCCCTTGCGCAGCAAGGGTGATGTCACTGAGGTGTTGATCGACTGGATCCGCGCAGCTCGTCTCCAGCTCAGGCAGAGCTTTGGCTCGGACTTTCCTGTTCTGCGTCTGCACTCTGACAGAGGTGGAGAGTTCTCCTCTGGCCTTCTGCGAGCCTACTGTCGTGCACGAGGCATCCGCCAGACCTTCACGCTTCCGGACTCTCCACAGCAAAATGGGATTGCTGAGCGCCGCATTGGCATGGTCATGGACGTCGCCCGTACGTCCATGATGCATGCGGCTGCCCCCCATTTTCTGTGGCCGTTTGCGGTTCGGTACGCGGCGCATCAGATCAACCTTCACCCCAGGGTCTCCATGCCGGAGACCTCCCCAGCTTTGCTGTGGACGGGGAAGGTTGGCGATGCGTCTGCGTTCCGTGTCTGGGGATCTCGGGCGTTTGTCCGCGACTTGTCTGCGGACAAGCTGTCCCCTCGTGCTGCTCCTTGCGTCTTCCTTGGCTTCCCCCCTGACGCGCCAGGGTGGCAGTTCTACCACCCCACCTCTCGCCGTGTTCTGTCCTCCCAGGACGTCACGTTTGACGAGTCGGTCCCCTACTACCGCCTCTTCCCCTACCGCACTCCGTCCCTCCCCCCGCCACCGCTCTTCCTTGTGCCAGGTCCCCCCCCGGTAGACCCCCTCCCCCCTCAGGGTCCTGCCCCTTCAGGTGTGTCCCAGGTAGACGCAGTCGAGCCTGTCGCGGTTACTGGTGACTCTGGTGCTGCCGCTGGGGGTACTGGTGCTGTCCCTGCTGTGTCTGGAGTCGCCGCGCGGCCTCGGCCGTACTTCGTTCCGCTCCTTCAGCAGGTTCTTGGTCTCCCGCCTTCTCCTGGTCCTCCTCCTCCCTTAGAGTGTCCACAGCCTGTCCCGTAACAGTTACAGTTACAGCCGGCCTCCCCACTGCCCGCTCCTTCTCCCTACACTGGTCCTACTGGAGGTCTGGCTGAGCGTCGTGAGCCTGCGTCTCGCCCTGCGTCGCCTGTCCGTCTTGCTCGCACTAGTGGTCGTGGTTCGCGTCAGCGTCCTCCTCCTGTCCCTGGCACGCACCGGATGTCTCTGCGTCCGTCCACTGCTCCTCTGCGTGCCCCTTTGCCTTCTCCTCCTGAGTCCTCTCTTCCTGCTCTTCTCGACCCGGAGTCGGACTCTCTTCGTGCTGCCAGTCCTACTGTCACGCGTCTCCTTGCTACTGTCGTCACTGACCCTTCCTTTGAGTCCACTGCTGCGTCTGCCCTAGTTGCTGAGCTCGTTGACTTTGCTGCTCGCTGTCGTCTAGACTACGCTGCTAGTCTTGTCGTTGAGTCTGAGTCTGTCTGTCCTCCGTCCGTCGGGGGTGAGTGTGCCCTTGGCACAGACGTCCTTGAGGACAGGCAGGAGGAGTTCCAGTGTTTGGCTGCTGCTTCACCTCATCTCGTGTCCGTACTGCTTACCCCTGAGGGAGACCCGGATGCACTTGACATCCCGACTCCGCGCTCTTACGCGGAGGCGATAGAGGGTCCCTACTCCTCTCAGTGGCAGGCAGCTATGGACACAGAGATGGCTTCCTGGAAGTCCACAGGCACCTACGTTGACGAGGTTCCCCCGCCTGGGGCGAACATCGTCAGTGGCATGTGGATTTTCAGGGTGAAGCGACCGCCGGGTTCTCCGCCTGTCTTCAAGGCGCGTTACGTGGCTCGTGGCTTCAGTCAGCGGTAGGGAGTTGACTACTTTCAGACCTTCTCTCCCACCCCGAAGATGACCACTCTTCGGGTACTGCTGCACATAGCTGCTCACCGCGACTACGAGCTGCACTCTCTTGACTTCAGCACTGCTTTCTTGCAGGGCAGCCTGCACGAGGAGATCTGGCTGCGTCGCCCACCTGTCTTCACTGGGTCTTTTCCTCCTGGCACCCAGTGGAGCCTCCGGCGGCCAGTCTACGGTCTCCGCCAGGCACCGCGTGAGTGGCACGACACACTGAGGACTACACTTGCGGCTCTTGGGTTTGCTCCCTCTACTGCCGACCCGTCGCTGTTTCTGCGCACCGACACTTCTTTGCCGCCGTTCTACATCCTCGTATACGTCGACGACTTGGTCTTTGCCACAGCTGACACTGCTGGACTCGCCCACGTGAAGTCCGAGCTGCAGAAGAGACACACGTGCACAGACCTGGATGAACTGCGCAGCTACCTTGGCTTGCAGATCACCCGGGACAGAGCACGCCGCACCATTACCATGACTCAGTCACACATGGTGCAGCAGGTCCTTCAGCGCTTCGGCTTCACGTACTCCTCGCCTCAGGCCACTCCTCTGCCTACTCGCCACTCGCTCTCAGCTCTGCCTTCGGATGAGTCCGTAGAGTCGAGTGGCCCGTACCCAGAGCTTGTTGGCTGCCTCATGTACCTGATGACCTGCACACGACCTGACCTCGCATACCCTCTTAGCATTCTCGCACGCTATGTTGCTCCTGGGAGACACAGACCGGAGCACATGGCTGCAGCGAAGAGGGTGTTGCGTTAGTTGTGCAGTACGTCGGGCATGGGGCTTGTGCTTGGAGGGCAGAGTCCAGTGGTCCTCACTGGGCACGCAGACGCTTCTTGGGCTGATGACCAGGCTACGCAGCGGTCGTCACAGGGTTACACCTTCAGCCTTGGTTCCGGCTCTGTTTCGTGGCGGGCTACCCGCTCGTCTTCTGTTCTCGGCTCCAGTTGTGAGGCTGAGATCTACGCCGGGGCCATGGCTGCACAGGAGCTTCGCTCGCTCACCTACCTGCTGACTGACCTCGGAGAGCCGCCTCGTTCTCCTCCAGTGCTGTACGTAGACAACAAGGCCATGCTGGCCTTGTGTCGAGAGCAGAGACTGGAGCACAGAACGAAGCACATTGCTCTCCGCTACTTCCTTGCTCGTGAGCTACAGCAGCGTGGTCAGCTGCGGCTTGCGTACGTGGCCTCTCAGGTCAACACTGCTGATATCTTCACCAAGGCACTTGCGCCTTGTGATCATCAGCGCTTCTGTACTCAGCTGGGTCTTGTGCCTACCTTGCCTCACTTGCTCACCCCTTGACCTTGTTTGTACTGTTGCATATATATATACACCTGCTCTTGCTTGTCTAGCCTTATATATATATGTAATCCTGCATGTGAACTGGCCTTGTGGCCTTGAACTTGTGCTCGGAATGTGTGGTGACTTTGTGATCCACCCTGAGCTTGCTTTGCTTTGCTTGACTGGTCTTGTGACCCCTTGTTCTCCCCCACTTTGCCTATGGGGGTGTGTCAGATTTATATGACATAACTACTGTAGGCTATAGTGGGGTAGCACATATGGGGTACAGTTTTCTAGGGTTTACATTTGTACCCAACTTTCCTTTAGTCATTCATTCTCGTTCAGTTTCTCACGCCATACGGCCATTCTCCCGCCATAAACGACCAGAAACCAAGCCTGTGCGACAGAGTTCATCATCGCACGCTGAGACACATGACCGGATTCAAGCTCCTCAAGCGGGTTTTCGCTGCCATGACGGACGACGATGACCAGGGGGTCACACTGCATCATGATGGGCCTGCTGATGATAGTGATAGCGAAAACGGGGTGAACCTGGACGACATGCTCGGGTACATGCAGCATCTGAAACAGCAAGGGGTGAAGCTCGGCAAGAAGAAAAAGAAGAAGCAGGCTCGTATGAAAGATCTCTTGGCGCAGGGCGACGACACTGCTGGGCCTTCGAACTCACCTACTAATGATGAAGTCGCTCCTGCTTCTGCGGCGGAACCTACGCCTGCTACTATGACCGCCGTAGCACCTACCGCCGTAATCGATCGTGCCGCCCCAACCGTTCCCTCGCCTCTCACTGCGAGTGCCAGTACTGCTGCCGTAGCAACGACTGCCGTTTCCACTGCTGGACCCGCGAGTACGGATCCTACCCCTGCCGTTACCAACCCGGTGGCCGTCTCGGCTCCAACGGTTGTCCTCGCAGTGGACGAGGCTACCGCGAATGCTGACGCTTCCGCCGTTACCGCCTCAGCTGCTGATGACGCAACACGCGGATCGACTGCCGGCCAAGTGATTGCCTCATCGTTGGGGATTGCCATCCCAGTGAACCACCGCACCAGTACGATTTACTCTGTTTCCGTGTTGTATTGATCGCGGCCCTTACGGCGTGGATTATGTTTGCTTCTGCCGTTATGTTATTACTAACCGAGATTTTTCCCTGGTTGTATTTGTTCCGTGTGGCAGTTGTGCCGGCCGAGCAAGCAGTAGCACAAGAGACCTTCCGTCTGCAAGGACAGCTCGACGACCTGCGAACAACGCTGAGGCGCACGCAGGAGCGCGAGAGAGAGTTGTCGAACCTTCTCTCGGAGCGGGACGCCGAGCTGGCAGCGCTCAACCAGCGGTGCGCTGAGGCCATCCGGTTGAACGAGCAGCTCCTGCAGGACCTGTCTGTCAAACTTATATCTGCTATGGTCTATTTAGGCTGTAGTGGGGTAGCTCTTAGAGGGTACAACACTTATGTGTTTCCTATATGTACCCATCTCATTTCTAGTTCATTCATTCTTTCGTCTATCATTCTTACATGGTATAGAGCTAGTTTCGAGAATTTTTAAAAAGGGCCCACCACTGAAATTTCTTCCCTGCCTACTTGACGCGCGCTTCGCGCCTTCCCTTCGAGGCCCGTCACGGCCCCTGCGCCCGCCCTTAGAGCCAGCGCCCGCCCCGTAAGGCCTCGTTAGGCCCCGTAAGGCCCCTTAAGGCCCCGTTTAAGGCCCCGTAAGGCCCCGTCAGGCCCCGTAAGGCCCCTTAAGGCCCCATAAGGCCCCGTTTACGGCCCCATTTAAGGCCCCGTCAGGCCCCGTATGGCCCCGTAAGGCCCCGTAAGGCCCCTTTCCGACCCCGTTTACGGCCCCGTTTTAAGGCCCCGTAAGGCCCCGTAAGGCCCCGTAAAGCCCTCGTAAGGCCTGTCAGGCCCCGTTATAGGCCCCGTACGGCCCCGTCAGGCCCCGTTAGAGGCCCCTTCAGGCCCAGCCGGCCCTGCTGCGGCCCTGTCGCAGCTCTTCCCCGGCCCTGCCCCGGTCCTGCTCCTGCACTGCCCCGGCCCTGCTCCTGAACTGCCCCGGCCCTGCTTCTGCACTGCCCCGGCCCTGCTCCTGAACTGCCCCGGCCCTGCCCCGGCCCTGCCCCGGCTCTGCCCCAGCCCTGCCCCGGCCCTGCCCCGGCCCTGCTCCTGAACTGCCCCGGCCTTGCCCCTGAACTGCCCCGGCCCTGGCCCGGCTCTGCCCTGGCCCTGCCCCGGCCCTGCCCCGGCCCTGCTCCTGAACTGCCCCGGCCCAGCCCCGGCCCTGCTCCTGAACTGCCCCGGCCCTGCCCCGGCCCTGCTCCTGAACTGCCCCGGCCCTGCCCCGGCCCTTCTCCTGAACTGCCCCGGCCCTGCCCCGGCCCTGCTCCTGAACTGCCCCGGCCCTACCCCGGCCCTGCCCCAGCCTCTCCCCTGGTAAGAGAGCCGCGCTGCCGAGCCACACCGCCCTGCCGAGCTGTGCCGCCCTGCCTAGCCTGCTTAGCCGAGTTGCACTGCTGCTGCTGCTAGCCTGCTGCTGCTTCTCCTGTCATGGCTAGTCTCAATGTTCTTACCTTTGATGCTGAGGGTCGGGCTGTTGACTTTGAGGTCTGGCTAGATGATCTGCAGCTTTTCCTACAGTGCGATAGCAAGGATGGTCTCTCACTGTTCGATCTCACGTCTGGCGCCTCTACTGCCCCTACTGCTGATGCTGACAGTACTGTTCGCTCGCAGTGGCTCACGCGCGATGCTGCTGCTCGTCTTGCTGTGCGCAATCACCTGTCGTCTACTGAGCGCGCGCACTTTAGTCAGTACAAGAGTGCTAGGGCTCTGTACGACGCTGTAGTTGCACGCTACTCCTCCCCTACCACTGCTGCCCTCAGCCGCCTCATGCTGCCGTACCTTTTTCCTGACCTTGCCGCCTTTTCCACAGTTGCTGACCTAGTTGCTCACCTCCGCACTAGTGACGCTCGCTACCGCGCTGCCCTTCCCACTGAGTTTCTTCCCATGAACTCCCCCCCCATGTACATCACCCTTTACTACCTAGTCACCCGCCTCCCTGACTCTCTCTCCTCAGTCAGGGATCACTTTCTCTCCCTTTGCCCTACCGAGCTGACTGTCGACTTGCTAGAGGAGCGCCTTGCTGCAGCTGAGAAGAGTATCTTAGCTGTCGGTGCTTCTCGCGGTGACCGTCGCACCCCCTTCTTTGAGGGGTGTTCCCCTGTCCCCCTTCTCCCCTCTGTTGCCTCTGCTGCTGCTGTCGACCTCGTTGGCACTGACGAGGTCGGCGCTGCGTCTGCCCCTAGTGGGCGACGCCGCACTGGCAAGGGCAAGGGAAGCAAGGGTGGTGGTGGGGGCGGTGGAGGCAGCGGTGGAGGAGGTGGAGGAGGTGGAGGTGGTGGTGGGGGTGGTTCCGGGAGTGGGGGCGTCGGTAGCGGCAGTAGCGGCCGTGGCGGCGGTGGCGGAGGAGGTGGCGGCGGCGGCGGCGGTGGTGGAGGTAGCGGAGGAGGTGGTGCTGGTCGCGGTGTAGCCACGCAGCGTGGAGGCCTTGGTGGCAGCCAGCGTCAGCAGCAGCTGCGCACCCGTGAGACCCCGTCTGTTCAGCAGCTTCGTGAGTGGTACGCTGGGCGTGGGAGGTCTGGGGGTGCAGGTCCCTGCGCGTACGTTCTTCGCACCGGCACTCGTAGTGGGGAGGTGTGTGGTTTCCCACACACCACGCAGCGCTGCTTTGGCCGCTTGACTGATGCTTGGCGTACCCACTTTCCTGACACTGTTGATCTTCCTCGTTGGCATGATCTGCTTCTGCAGAATGTGCCTATCTTTGATCTAGACTTTGATGCTATCCTTGCTGCTATGTATGCTCTTGCTGATATTACTGAGGGTGACTGTTACCTGCGTGTCCCGCCCGACCCGGGCACTGTGGCTGCTGCTCTAGGTGCTAGTGCGTCTGCTGCTCCAGGTGCTAGTGCGGCTGCTGCTCTAGGTGCTAGTGCGTCTGCTGCTCCAGGTGCTGGTACGTCTCCTCCCTCTGGTACTGCACCTACTGAATCCTTTCACACTTTCACACTTGACTCTGGTGCTTTGCGCTCTTTCTTTAGAGACAGCACCAAACTCACGCCGCTCAGTCAGCCTGTTGCGGTCTCCCTTGCTGACCCCTCAGGGGGCCCAGTACTTGCACACTCCTCCACTGTCCTACCGTGTCCTGCGGCCCCGTCGGGCTTGCTGTCGGGACTCCACCTCCCCTCGTTCTCTACGAACCTGGTGAGTGGAGCTGACCTCCAGGACGCGTGGGTTGACCAGTTCACCCCTGGAGGTCAGCGTGTGACCCACTGCACTTGCTCTTGGACGGGCCGCCACCTGGCCACGTTCACCCGTCGGCCAGGGTCGAGTCTGTACACACTGACTACTGCGCCTCCTCCAGTCTCTGCGTCTGGTCCGGTAGCCGCGTCCAGTCAGGTGTTTGCTGCCACGTCCAGGTCTAGTCCTGCGCCTGCCCCCTGCTCGTGTCGTCCTTTGGCACACGAGACCCTCCTTTGGCACCACCGCCTTGGTCACCCCTCCCTGCCTCGTCTTCGAGGTATGGCCTCCCGTGCCCTTGTCTCGGGTCTACCCAGGTCTCTCCCTCCCCTTCCTCCGGGGCCTGCCCCCACCTGTGTTCCTTGTGTCGAGGGCCGGCAGCGCGCTGCCCCTCACTCCTCCTCCTTTCCTCCGACATAGGCTCCTCTGCAGACTCTTCACATGGACGTGTGGGGCCCAGCCCGCGTCCGTGGACAGAGTCACGAGCGCTACTTCCTCCTGGTCGTTGACGACTACTCGCGTTACACCACTGTCTTCCCCTTGCGCAGCAAGGGTGAGGTTCCTGAGGTGTTGATCGACTGGATCCGCGGTGCTCGTCGCCAGCTCAGTGAGAGTTTCGGCTCAGACCTTCCTGTTCTGCGTCTGCACTCGGACAGAGGAGGGGAGTTTTCCTCCGACCTCCTGCGAGCCTTCTGTCGTTCGGAGGGCATCCGCCAGACGTTCACGCTTCCGGCCTCCCCGCAGCAAAATGGGATTGCTGAGCGCCGTATTGGCATGATCATGGACGTCGCTCGTACGTCCATGATCCATGCGGCTGCTCCCCATTTTCTGTGGCCGTTCGCGGTTCAGTACGCTGCGCATCAGATCAACCTTCAGCCTCGTGTCTCCTTGCCGGAGACCACACCTACTCTGCGGTGGACGGGGAAGGTTGGCGATGCGTCCGCGTTCCGTGTTTGGGGATCTCGAGCTTTTGTCCGCGATACTACAGCGGACAAGCTGTCCTCCCGTGCCGTTCCCTGTGTCTTCCTTGGCTTCCCTCCTGACGCACCCGGGTGGCAGTTCTACCACCCCACCTCGCGTCATGTTCTGTCCTCTCAGGACGTCACGTTCGACGAGTCGGTGTCGTACTACCGTCTCTTTCCCCACCGCACTGCCTCTCCCCCCCCCTCCGCCGCTCTTCCTCGCCCCAGGTCCTCCCCTCGTAGACCCCCTCCCCCCCCAGGGTCCTGCCCCCTCGGGTGTGTCCCAGGTAGACCCTGCGGAGCCGGTCGAGGTAGCTGTCGACTCAGGTGCTGCTAGGGGTGCTGACCCTGCGGGTGCGGGGACTGGGGGTGCTGAGTCTGGGGGTGCTGAGACTGGGGGTGCTGCGTCTGGGGGTGCTGAGACTGGGCGTGTTGAGCCTGGGGGTGTGGCGTCTGAGGGTACTGTGTCTGGAGGTGCTGAGCCTGCGCGTGCTGCGTCTGGAGGTGCTCTAGGTGTCCCGTCGCGGCGGGAGCCCCTCTCTCCACAGCGGCTTCGTGAGTGGTACTCTCGGCGCTGTAGGGTTCCTGCTGGTGCTGGAGCTGCTGGAGGTGCTGGAGGTGCTGTTGGAGCTACTGAAGGTGCTGGTGCTGCTGGAGGTGGTGCTGGTGCTGGAGCTGCTGGAGGTGCTGGTGTTGCTGGAGGTGCTGCTGGAGCTACTGGTGGTGCTACTGGAGCTACTGGTGGTGCTGGTGCTGGAGCTGCTGTAGGTGCTGCTGGTGCTGGAGCTACTGGAGGTGCTGCTGGGACTGGAGACCCTGGGGCTGAGGGTACCGGTTCTGTCTCTGCTGTTTCTGGGGGCGCTGCGCGGCCGCGGCCGTACTTCGTTCCGCTACTTCAGCAGGTTCTTGGCTCCCCGCTTTCTCCGGGTCCTCCTCCTCCTCCCTTCCTGAGTCCACCGCCGGTCCAGTCCCAGTCGCAATTGCAGCCGGCCTCTCCGCTGCCTGGTCCTTTTCCTTACTCTGGTCCGACTAGAGGTCTTACGGAGCGTCGTGAGCCTGAGTCTCGTCCTGTGTCGCCTGAGTCTCGTCCTGCGTCGCCTGTCCGTACTGTTCGCGCTGGTCGTGTTTCGCGTCCGCGTCTTCCGTCTGTCCCAGGCACTCACTCTATGACTCTGCCTCCTTCTACTGCTCCACAGCGTGTCCCTCTGCCCTCTCCTCCTGCGTCCTCTCTTCCTGACGGTCCGGACCCGGAGTCTGACTCCCTCCGTGCTGCTAGTCCTACTGTCACGCGTTTTCTGGCCACTGGTGTCACTGACCCTCTGTTTGAGTCCTCTGCTGCGTCTGCTCTCGTTGCTGAGCTTGTTGACTTTGCTGCAGCCTGTCGCCTAGACTACGCCGCTAGTCTTGTTGCTGAGTCTGTGTCTGCGTCTGTCTGTCCTCCGTCCGTCGGGGGTGAGTGTGCTCTTGGCACGGACGTCCTTGAGGACAGACAGGAGGACCTTGAGTGTTTTGCTGCTGCTTCACCTCATCTCGTGTCCATGCTGCTTGCCCCTGAGGGAGACCCGGATGCACTAGACATCCCGACCCCGCGCTCTTACGCAGAGGCGATAGAGGGTCCCTACTCCTCTCAGTGGCAGGCAGCCATGGACGCAGAGATGGCTTCCTGGAATTCCACAGGCACCTACGTAGACGAGGTTCCCCCACCTGGGGCGAACATCGTCAGTGGCATGTGGATCTTCAGGGTGAAGCGGCCGCCGGGTTCTCCGCCTGCCTTCAAGGCGCGTTACGTTGCACGTGGCTTCAGTCAGCGACAGGGAGTTGACTTCTTTCAGACCTTCTCCCCTACCCCGAAGATGACCACTCTTCGGGTACTGCTGCACGTTGCTGCTCAGCGTGACTACGAGCTCCACTCGCTTGACTTCAGCACAGCCTTCTTACAGGGCAGCCTGCACGAGGAGATCTGGCTGCGCCGCCCACCTGGCTTCACTGGGTCGTTTCCTGCTGGTACCCAGTGGAGCCTCCGGCGGCCAGTCTACGGTCTCCGCCAGGCGCCCCGTGAGTGGCACGACACACTGAGGACTACACTTGCGGCTCTTGGGTTTGCTCCTTCTACAGCCGACCCATCGCTGTTTCTGCGCACCGACACCTCTTTGCCGCCGTTCTACATCCTCGTGTACGTCGACGACTTGGTCTTTGCCACAGCTGACACTGCAGGACTAGCCCACGTGAAGTCCGAGCTGCAGAAGAGACACACGCGCACAGACCTGGGTGAGCTCACAAGCTATCTTGGCTTGCGGATCACCCGGGACAGAGCACAGCGCACCATTACCTTGACTCAGTCACACATGGTGCAGCAGGTCCTTCAGCGCTTCGGCTTCACGTACTCCTCGCCACAGTCCACTCCTCTGCCTACCGGTCACTCGCTCTCAGCTCCACCTTCGGACGAGTCCGTAGAGCCGAGTGGCCCGTATCCAGAGCTTGTGGGCTGCCTCATGTACCTGATGACTTGCACACGACCTGACCTCACATACCCTCTCAGCCTTCTGGCTCGCTACGTGGCTCCCGGCAGGCACCGAAAGGTGCACTGGGATGCTGCGAAGAGGGTGTTGCGATACTTGTGCTGTACATCGGGCATGGGGCTCGTGCTTGGAGGACGGGCTCGAGTTGTCCTCACTGGTCACGCAGACACTTCCTGGGTTGACGACTTGGCTACGCAGCGGTCATCACAGGGTTACACCTTCAGCCTTGGCTCCGGTTCTGTCTCCTGGCGGTCTACCCGCTCTTCTTCTGTTCTCAGCTCCAGTTGTGAGGCTGAGATCTACGCTGGGGCCATGGCTGCACAGGAGCTTCGGTGGCTCACCTACCTGCTGACCGACTTGGGAGAGGCGCCTCGTTCTCCTCCAGTTCTGCACGTCGACAACAAGGCCATGCTGGCCTTGTGTCAGGAGCACAGACTGGAGCACAGAACGAAGCACATTGCTCTGCGCTACTTCCTTGCTCGAGAGTTGCAGCAGCGTGGCCAGCTTCGTCTTGCTTACGTGGCCTCTCAGGCCAACACTGCTGACGTTTTCACCAAGGCACTTCAGCCTTGTGATCATCAGCGTTTCTGTACTGTGTTAGGCCTTGTACCTACTGTGCCTCACTTGTTGACTTCTTGACTCTGCTTGTACTGTACTCTATATACTTATACCTGCATGCTTACACTTGCTAGGTTGTGTTCACTGTACTGTTTGCTTTCCTTTATATAACTATGCATGTGAACTGGCCTTATGGCCCTTTGCTTGTGCTCAGACTGTGTGGTGACTTTGTGATCCACCCTGAGCTTGCTTTGCTTTTCTTGACTGGTCTTGTGACCTCTTGTTCTCCCCCACTTTGCCTATGGGGGTGTGTCAAACTTATATCTGCTATGGTCTATTTAGGCTGTAGTGGGGTAGTTCTTAGAGGGTACAACACTTATGTGTTTCCTATATGTACCCATCTCATTTCTAGTTCATTCATTCTTTCGTCTATCATTCTCACACTGTCCGCCGCCCAGGGTACGGCACTCATCGGTGCCCCGCGTCCGGCATCGCCCTCGTTCAATATGGAGCGGATCCCTCGCGACGCCAACGGAGCACTCATTATCCCTGCCCTCGTCAGTCATGACAATCATTTCGGGGTAAGTCTCACATTTCGGTGTTCTTTTGTATGCGGTTTCCGCGAGTTGTATTCCTCTGTGTTTATTGGGTATCTCCATCTTCTTGCATTCTCTCATTTCCTCTATTATCCGTCTCGTTAATATGCAGAAAAAGGCAACCGAGGCGATCACGTATCTTATGCTGGATGCGCCAGCTCGGTCCATGCAGTTCTACCCCGAGTGGGCAGAGTTCCGCGAGGTCATCTGCATGAAGTACGAGGCCGCGGGAGTTTCATCCGACGTTTTCTACTACGTCATCAGCAGCGACCCCAACAAAGAGGCGCTGGCGATGCGGAAGGTGTCGGAGAGGCGTTCTAATGTCAACGCGGACGCCAAGGTCTATGGCAGAGGTCCTGGTGGGTGCATTCCGGAGAGCAAGTGGCACATTCTCGCGGAGGAGAATGTGGCGCCGTCCATCTCGCGTACCCCTGCGGAGTGGTGCCGTTTCTATGAACATCGTGAGTTACATATTGCCCGTTTCACTGAGTTTGTGTGTCTTACGCAATCTCTAAGTTTATAGCTGTTTCTTTACTCTCTTTCCTTCTGTTTTTGCAGCTGTCTATGGGCCTGGTGCTAACTGGCATTTCTTTGCGACAAGCAACCGCCCGTTTGCCAACCTCGCTTTCCAGCTGACTCTCCTTCGTGGGCTTTCCAGCAAGCGTGCAACCATGCTGCACGTGAAGATCCCTACTGTGGGCTACATCCTAAACGTGGTGAGTGTGTGTTAATTGTGCTTGTATTGGTTTGTCTTTTAAAAACAATTTAAGTAAACGTTGCTTGCCTGTTGCAACTGCAGGTGGAGTGGCCCCTGGTGAACGCAAGGGGGCGCCAGAACCCGTCTCTTGACACTGCAGAGGCAGTGAACCGCCAGAATGTGGCGCACAAGATCGACTAGGTGGTTGCCTGGATTGCGGCAACGTACAACGCCAGGGATGTGGCTATTTGGGACTCCAGGCCCCCTGCTGGCTTCAACATGGGCCCCAGGATCAAGATCCTGGCGGAGGGCTATGAAAGGGAGATTTTCCCTAATGGAACCCCACCTTAGAAGTCCTAGTTTAGGTAGTGGTTAGGTGTAGCTGGTGCTACAGTAGTTTAGTTTAATTGTTAGGTGTAGGAGCTGCTAACTGGAGTTGTAATGGTAGTCTGTTGCTGTTGCTGTTAGTATGAAGTATTGGATCTAATTCTAAGTACGCATTAACGGGTTTCTGAGTAATGTTATCAAAATGGTGGTTGAATTGGTTTTCTGTTGATAATAGAATTTAAAAATATATTTTTATACTACAGTGAACTACAGTAATTATCAAGTTTATTGACAGATCGACATTGCGACACTGAATTAAAGCAACTAGGGCTGTAACCCGGTTGGTTACAGGCCATTGTAACTTCAACTCAATCACTCGATAATCCATCGCGAGTTACAGTAACAGAGCAACATATCGAAATGTAACCGCGCGCACTATGCCAAATCAGCCGCGTAAATATTCGGGCCAGGTCATCAACGAGCTGGATGACATATGGCCATCCGCATGATACTCTGTATATCGATCACACACAACCGCACATTGTACCCCCCGTGTGTGGCAAAGCACCTCGATCCTTCGATGACTGGGCATCACCAGCCCTTACTGTTCCGACTGAATCCACACATACGAAACCCATCGACGGAGCGGTCGATCGTGGGTGGCAATCGGCCTAACCCATCACACGTATATGGTCTGTTCGAAAATTCGCCAGAACCCAACCCCAACAACCCGAACTCTTCTAAAACACCCCAAACCAGGCGACACAACTTTCTGATGGAGTCGTTGAATTCTGAACGCAAGCTCCGCCGCTTGAAGGTTTTAATGGGCGTACGGTGCACTTGAAGGTTCGCTGCTGACGCGGCACCTACTGATAATTTGACGGTTTGCCTTTGGCATATAGGCTTGTGCTCAAAACGCTTCAAGCTGAAATCCTTCGCCGGACTAAGCGACTCGAATGCTCTCTTGAAGGAAAGAGGACTGTGCTGCTGATTATTCCCTGCACTCCGTTTTCTGCTCGTAGTTATGAGCCGCGGCTCCGATTTCTACTCTGTTTCGTCGCTGTGATTCGCCTCTGAAATGGTTCTTGCCTTGCTTCTCCAGCAAAACTCTGAAGGCCGTATCAAGCAACGCGGCCGATGCCGATTGGGTGCGCTGTTAATGCCAGCAGCGCACGCGGGGAATGGCGCGGTCGCTGCTGACAAAGACAGCAGCCGAAAAGACGAGCAGTAGATGAGGAGTAGATGGCAGGTACTGAGCGATAGATTATGAGCAGCATCTCACGAAGGCGATGATGGTGAGAAGCGGAGTCTAGCGATAAGTATCAGAGCAGCATCCCTCCTTAACAAAGTTCGTAAAAGAGATTGCATGCCGCCCCCCTAAGTATAGTCTACCTTTTGGTCCTTTCAGCTGCATACAGCGGCGTGTCACAATTTTAAAGAAAATTTCAGAAGCGACCGAAATTTCAGCTGCATACACACGATGCTCGTTTGACTAACCCAAGGTTGCCTTGTGAAGGGGGCTTTTAAATGTTTCTCGTCATTTCGCGAATTTCGTCAACGTCGCACCTAGCAAAAAAGGGCATATAAAAATTTGTAACTCTCCGTTGACATTTTGACTTCGGTCTCTTCTGTTTGACTTCGATTTTTGTGGTTCGTATTGGTTCGTAACCTCTGCAACTCGCTCGAGGGGCCTGTAATGTGGGTGCAACTGTCTAGTAAAAAAAACACGGGTGCAGACTTTCCATCCGGGACAGGGCAAATTCGCGTGCAGGGGTTGAGCATCGTGTGTATAGCGGTGTGGCAGCGAGCGGGAGAAGATTGGCGCCCATTATCATCAGAGCAATCCGAACGCCCCGCCCATTAACACCTAATCGGCTCTGGTGTCACACGGGTGGTGCTCTGGCTCTACGCGATGAATCGGGTTTCCGTCAAACGATGACGTCTGAGTCAACCCAACGAATCTACCGGAATTCAGTTGCAAGGCGCCATAGGGAGTCGCGTCGCGATCAAGCGACTTTAGCTGCAATCTATCTAAGGACGAGCTGGCGGTCACCTTGATATCCGTGAAACAGTTACATTGCCACGTGGACATCATAGTTAACGGTTCAAGGCCGAACTATCATTTTCGTCCTAACATGTGGCTCCACATCCCACCCCACGATCACCAGCTTTCTCAGCAAGCCCTCCCGCCCTCCAAACTATGTCGTCTCCTAACTCCTTGGATCACGAAAGGGTGCCAATGCCAGCCTGGGCTCGTGGAGTGGAAGCAAATTCTACAGCCTTGGAGCGGCTGTTATTGGGCGCAGGGATGCGAGGGAATCCTTCACTGGCCGCAGCGATCCGTGGGCCGAGAAAAGCGTGGCAGTATTTACAGCGCCTAATCGTCGTGACCCTCATGAACCTTGTTGTCATTTGGAGGATAGAGGAAGGTAAGTACCTAACCAAACATAGTGGGGGAAAGTATCGACGAAAACAGCAAAGTACACCCTCTTTCGCGCTAGTAGAGCATCTGGTTGCAGAACATACACGGGTTGTAGAACGTCACCACGTTCAGAACGGTTTTGTCACCTACTGTACAAGCACAATGCGAAGAATGCAGTTAGGTAAGGTGACGAACTTTACAAACAGCTTTGTCAACGTTTTCATTTGGTTGGGAAGGGTATACAGTGACTAGGGAAATCTTACGCCCTTGAGCCAGTTTGTCACGTGGTTCGGATTTTCCCCCCAGGTTGATAGGAATGTTTAATGGCACCAGATCGCAAGAGACAAGTACTGTAGCGACGAGTCGCGCAAGACGAGAAGGTTGAGAAAGAGGGTGTATCGCGTGCATGCTGTCACGAGACAGCAGTTGAGAGGTCAGCGTTTCGGTTACATGAAACAATGCGTGACTGGGAAGTTACTTCTGTAGGCAAAACTGCAGATTGATTTCAGACTGATCGACGCCAAACTCTACAGTTATCTTATGCTGGCTTTTGTTTGTTTAGCGTCCTTGTGCTGTGTGAAGTGAAGCCACTCACAAGCCCTTGTACGAGCAATAATTTACCGCGTGCGGTGTACTCAGCTGTTTTTTTTTCATGCACCACCCACATCTGACTGCACGCATACCTGCAGCACAGTGCGGTACTTGCGTTGCATTGCATGCAAGCATGATGTGCAATGTGGGAGCAAGGGCCAAAGTCTTGCTTGTTGTCTTGGCGTAAGATTTCACTTGCTCAACAACGCAGATGAGCTTGGTTGGGGCTTGGCTTGGGCTCGAGGGCAGTTGTGCAATGGTTTGGGGGCTGGAAGCACGTAGACTTCATTTTGGACAGGATTATGTTTCGAGTCGCATCGGCTTCGCCTGAATGATCAATTTGTCATGGAGATGCGTGAATGTGCGGCTCGAAGTCGGCTGATGCGAGTCGCGGAAGAGTTAGCGAAGAATGTATTTCTCCAGAGTTCTTCACCGTTGGATGCGGAAAGTACCACAGTTGAGGTTGAGATTTGAGGGGTCCATCGAAACGCATCAAGACCTCACAAGCACGTCAACGATGTCGGGAAGATGGCTGACAAGTGAATGTTCCTCAGTCGCAGCTTCACTATAAAAGAAACATTAGGCAATAAGTGATTGACGTTATTAGTTGCAACAGCTTGTGGAAACTTGAGGTAAAAGTGCTTAAAACAACTGTCCTTGCAACTAATGTAATCACGCGAGTCTACAGTGACCCGCATCAACTGGAGCCAAGAAGCAGAGAAAATTATGAAGGAGCAGATGACGGGAGTCTTTTCAAAACAGTCCGATCAAAGAAAGTGGTTCTCTGTGACGTCTCTTTACCGAAGTGCAACTGCCACCCACCGCGACTCTGCTGCAGCGATCATTGTTTGTGTGCTCCAAGACAGAAGCTGAGAGGGATGCAGCTTATCACGCACGATGTTGAAGGATGGGAAACTTCAGAGCAAGAAGAGACTGAACCTTTATTGATTTTGCAGGGGAGGTTAAGTAACTACTCCTGTAATGCCTTGGAAGTACGATATCACCTTGAAAATAGCACTATTGTTGTATGGTCATGCAATGCAGCCCGCCTCAGCTCAGACAGTTTTCCTCCTGTAAAGCATAGGGGGGGCTACAAGGAGGCATCCAAACCGCCTCTGGAGGCAGTCCAGGCCCTTCAGAAACAGCTGCTGCTGTCTCTCTGCTGCAGTCAGTGCTAAGCAGTATCCCACAGGCTGAGAAAATCTGGCCAGTGCAGTGTCAGGCTCAGTTATATTAAACAAGGCAGGTGGGGCAGAAAGTGGAGCAGATGAGTGTGGGAAGTAGTTGGTCTCCCCATCAATGTCGTATCCCTCCTCATCTTCCTCCCCATGCTCATCGATGCTAGTAGCATCACAATCTCCATCATACTCCATGTCATCCATGTCAGCTTCCTCTTCCTCATCCTCCTCCTCCCCCTCTACAGTCACATGAAGGCCAGTCAGCGTGGACATGTTAGAAAGAATTGAATGAAGCAGAAGCAGGCTTTTGGGTGCCTTATCCGCAATTCGCACTGTGAGAGCTTCTAACCGAGGCCACAAAGAGTCATTATTGAGTGTACCATTTGAACCAGATCTCCCCGGTGACTGTAGAAGACCCGACACGACAGCCGAGTCAACCATGTGCTGCCACGCCAGCGCACCCAACCGCAAACTTCTCAACCCCGGGCAGTTCCGTGCAAGCCAGGGCAGCGACGAAACCGAGGGCAGGCCCGAGCTGCTGGTGGCAAAGAAATCGAGGGAGAGCGACTCGAGCGCAGCCCATTTGGATGAAATTAGGGTTTCCGTGGCGGGCCAGTTGAGCGAGCCCGCGCGGAGGTCGATCGACGCGAGTTGGTTGGAGTGAGGCGCTGAGACGAGCAGGC